TGGAAAAAGAGAAGAAAGTTTTGCATTTGAAATGATCCTATCACTGTTGCTATCTACAATTTTGCTGCGGTTTTCTTTTAGGAGTGAATCCATCCCAAGGATAGGTGTGTCAAGGAATACTTACCTATACCTGAATATAGGATCTGCTACTAATTTAACAGTGGAGGAAAATTTGTTTCATGTATTTAGTTTTAACTAACGTATATATTGAAGATAATACGAATTCCGTGGAGTTTATCTTTGCCGGTGGTGCCATCATTTTATAATTGTCATCCATAATTGCTGTGTTCTTTTCTCTCTTTTTGTTCTCTCTCCCTTTCTCTGCTCTTTTAATTCTTTATAACGTTCAATTTCTAAAATATTTTTTCTTCTAAGAGATAATGATGTCAGAAAGTTTGTAGAGGTATGGATAAGTCATTAAGAAGGATACAAAGAAAGCTTTTACGTAAGAATAAAAGATGAGGTCTATACGATGGAAAGAATTAGTTTTTAAATAAGATATGAATTGGGGTTAAAAGAATGAAAAATGATGAAATTAACCAATTCCAATTTTTTCATCACGAGTTAACGAAGGAATTGAAAAGAATAGGCTGAAAATGGTAACTTTAGAATCCTGTCTCTTTTACCAATAATGATAATAAAATGCAATAATAATGGAGTAATAATAAATAAATGAGAATGATGTTGAGAGAATTGTTATATGTGTGAGTGAATGAAGTTAGTACATCATGTTTGCCTGCACTGTCATAATGTACGATTGATTAGTCTCTACTTTTAATTGCAATATCGTGCTGAGGACACCACACACACACACATGTCGGGATGTGTGACAGTTCTGTCTGAGTGGGAAGGAGCCAGTCATCGTTACCCAGCGAGAATAAGTGCTAACAGTTATGATGTGTCTCATTGTGTTACCCTGAGAGCTTAATAAATGCGAACGGAGCAGATGGTCGGTATCTCTCCAGGAGTGGGAGCAGTTTTCGATGGATCATTGTGTGCAGGGAGTGCGGGTTTCGTCCTTGGCCTGCAGTTGCGTGTTGGGTCCCTGCCAATACTCTCTTCTCGTCCTTCTCCACAGACACACACACACACACACACACACACACAGAGCACAGACAGAGAGATGTGATGGAACACGCCGAATGCATATGTGAACATCGAATGTGTTACGCATGGCTAATGCGACTTGGTCAGTTTGTCGTTGTGTGTGTTAGGGAGAGAGAGTGAAGGGAGAGAGGGATTGAGTTGGGGCCGGAAGTCTCACGGTAACCGATTGTTGCCTGCTCACGGAGTTTGATATGGTTTGGATGACGGAATGCGATCAATGGCTAGGCTAGATCTGACGTTGAGGATATTGGTTATAGCTAGTTATAGGATTGAAAAGGAAGTGATGTAGCAATCATCTTGTACCATTTTTATTAAAACAAAGAAAGTTCATGTATGATGTTGGATATTTCTGAT